GCATCATCCAGAGCATTCTGCTTGCCCGGCTTATACTTCACCTCGAAGTTGTATTCCGCAAAGAATGAGAGCCAACGAGCCATTCGCTGAGAGAGATGTGGCGACTGGGTCGCAGTGCGTAATGACGCATGATCTGTAAAGAGCACAAAAGGCTTAGAGCCAAGCAGATGAACTCTGAATTTAACTAAAGCATACTTCATTGCAAGTAGCTCTTTGTCATGAACTGAATAATTCTTTTCTGCAGCCTTCAACTGCATGGTCTCAAACGCAATGACGCGTTCCCGTCCATCATTATCTGTTTGTAACAGAGCACTGCCGATGGCAAAGTCAGATGCGTCACAGACGACACTGAAAGGCCGATCAGGATCGGGCAAAGCCAAGATTGGCGCATGAAGAAGGCTCTCTTTTACAGCCGTAAAGGCTTCCTGCTCGGTGTTCGTCCAACACCATTCCACATCCTTTTTAAGGAGATTGGATAATGGTCGAGCCATGTCTGCATAGTTTGCACTATACTTGTGTAAGTAATTGGCAAGACCAAGCCACTTACGTAAGCCGTTCTGGTTCTGAGGAACCGGCCAATCGACTATGGATTTTATCTTAGCGGGATCCGCTCTAAGACCACGCTTCCCAATGAAGCCCCCTAAAAAGGGAATCTCTTGTGCACCAAAGATGTACGTAGAGGCGTTGGCATACAACTTGTTTTTGCGCATGCACTCGAGAACTGCTCGTAAATGGTCGATGTGATTATCCACATCAGACCGGCCGTTCATAGCACGACTATGGACAAAGATGTCATCAAAGTAGGTCTGTGCATAACCTCGGTGAGGCCGAAACAGTTGCGTCACAAGACGATTGAACTTAGCTGGTGCGTTTGACAAGCCCTGTGGCATAACTAGCCACTCCCAGAGCATACCGCTCGGGGTACTCACCGCTGTTAGCGGAATATCTTTCTCACGCATGAGTAATTGGTAATAACCATCGACTAAATCGAGTGCACTGTACATCGTATATCCCACCATATTGTTCTAAATAACATCTTTCCTAGGGATTGGTGTCTGAGCCGGGATCGTGGCAGCATTAAGCTTATTGTAAGCATGAACAATGCGCCACTTTCCATTGGGCTTTCGAACACAAAATGTGGGCGTGGAATGAGGAGATTTGCTCTCACGAACCATGCCCGCTGCGTGCTTTGCACGAAAAAAGTCGTCAATGACTTACACTGTTCCTTCGGTAAAGTCCACTGCCGTGTTACGCAGTATTTAGTTCCAGGAACCAAGTCAGTTTCATGACGTACACCTCTATCGGGAGGTAAGACGGACGGTGGGTTGTGACACACCACGTCCTGAAAATCCTTTACCAAAGGATAGAACGGATCAAGAGGATCCTTAAGGATCGAAGATCCACTACGGGTATCCAATGCCGCCTTTGTGTCCTCAAGGACAGACTCGTCCAATAACGAGGATGAGTTCAACTCAATATCTGGTCGAATGACCTCTAACTCGGATAATTCTCCTGCCTGTAAGGCTTGGCTAAATTCGCCGTCAGAAACTTCGTCTAGGTCAAAGAGAGTATCCAAGGACGAAAGAGTTGCGAGACGTATGTTACCATCGACATGACCAGTTACTCCATTATCAGGTATATATAGTGTATTATTACTATAATCACTATGTGACGTTTCTGACGTTGGGCGCTTCACAGTGGCCACCTTACGCTGGAATCGTTTCCTCACAGAAACCGTACGCCTCCTAGAGGCCGGGACAGTCGGGTCCCCGTGATTGCTATTTGTCTTAGCACGCTCTAGACGAGAGCTCATGTCTTGAACGACATCTGGTGAAGTGTTACATAACTCAAACACTTCACCCAGTGGATTTACACGGACCACTTCACATACAGCATTCGGGCCTAGCCCTGAACGCTCTGGCTTCTCGCCATCAATGTCATTACCGACATTCAGTGAGGTGCCATCACGGCCGCCCTCACTCTGTGTATTTTCACGTGCCACCGCAATGACATCATGGAAATTACTTCCTGTATGTCCCGCCCGTAGGCCAACCATGCTTGACGCATGCAGTGACTCTGTATCACAACGAGTATCACTCAACGGAGTACAACTCTCTTCAAACACATTAAGAGAGCTCCGCTCAACATTCATGTCATAGACACTCGAGTTAATCAACTCCGACATACCAATGTCCAGCACATTGACATCTTCCGTCAATGGCTCGCGCCAATAGCGCTTTTGTTGCCTAGCAAAGGTGAGTTCATTACTCTCCAAAACTCCACTAGGAACATTGCGCGTTGCGCCTAAGGTCTTAGACCTCTAATCGATGCATGGTTCATGGCGTTCAAGCCATGCCATGCCTAGGATGAGATCGTATCTCGAATCCAAGTCAAGGACGAGACAGCGTTCTGTGCTATCAAAGTCCAAAAACCTCACGCCCAAGTTCAACGGAACTCTAGGCACAGTAACGCGACTACCCGTCGCTAACCGAACAGTGATGGAATCACCATCGTGCGCTTTGAGCGCTCAGCATATTGCTGACTCCCCTCAAGGGAACGGCGTCTAGCATAGTTGCATGACGCCCCAGAATCGATTAATATCGACCATTGCTTCTCAAAGCCTTTAACTATCGCCTCAGCGACTAACAAGCCAGGCTCGTATCCACGCTCTGTGCTTGCTGGAACGGAGCTCTGTGGGGCTAAGCCCTGTGTTGCTCTACCTCGTAGAGAAGTGACAGAACTCAGTTCTACCCCAGTAGGCCGCCCCGCGCCTACTGGGTGTCGACGTTTCCCCGTGCCATACCAAGTTTCTGGTTGAGGCTGGGGTTTCGACCCGTAGGAGTCGTTCGTTGCTTACGCAAAGGACAAGTGGGACGCAAATGTTTAGTGCTTCCGCACATGTAACAGCGTCTCACCTCCTTTCGTTGCTCGGCAACATGAAGCTCAGCTTCACCTTCATCTCCAGCATTGCTGAGATCCATCGGTTCGGGCTTACAGTAAGCTGAGCTATTTGCTGAGATTGCCCTCGCATAGCTTGGGTTGTACCCATTCCAACCAAGTCTGGCTGACTTATAGTTATGCTCAGCATTCTGAGCGATGCTCACAGCCTCCTCAAAAGTCGAGGGATGGACTCGAAAGACCTCGGTCCTGGCAATGCCAGTGCGAAGACCTTCCATGAAGACTGTCACACAGACTACCTCAGGGAGAGGTTCAACTGCATAGTAGCCATCAGAGTTCTCAACTCCTGGACATAGTCCGTTAACTCGTTCTTACCCTGACGGGTAGACAAGAAGCGTGAGCGCACGCTATATGCCTGGTTAGGCGGCGAGAAAACTCGAAAAAGGTCCAAATTGAGCGAATCCCACGTGGGAAACGCCAAGTTGACCGACGTGCCACACGTCAAAGCCCACTCTCGCGCTCTATTATCGAGCTTAGAGATAGCCAACGAGACCCGCTGGTTTTAAAGTGAGATGAGACCAGAGTCCATGGCCATCTCAATCTCACGGATCCAGAGGGTAAGATTTCCCCCTCCTTCCCGGAGTAACATTTAACGTCCACCCGAAGGGGACGAGGCTTAGCCTCTTCTGGTGGCATAGCCACATAGCGTGTCGACATAGCCGACGCTACTTGGTTTTGAACCTGGCCCAATAGGGCCGTTTCATACTGCATGAAGATCTCTACTCGTGCGTTGAGCACATCGGGACCTTGTGCAGCGAGAAACTCCACGTACTCAGGGCCTACGGCCGCGGTCAGCTTATCAAGCGCGACCTTTTGGGCCTCAGAGAGGGGTGTGGATTGCTCCATCCTCACAGAGGATCAGTCGTAACGACTCAGGCGTAGATTAACTACAAGTGCTACCAAGTGTAGCGGAGCTACACAGCTCCTTAAGTCAGAGGAAGACTTAACGCTCTTACGAGCAACTTTGGTTCTACGAACCCGACTCAGAGAGTCAACAAGCTCAGAGAACTCACGGTTCCTGTTCCAGGGAGACCAAACAATTCAAGAGAATCACAGCACAGAGTGCTCAAGAGTAGCTACCTTTACAGGCGTTGCTAGCTCTTCCGATCAAGACGCCTCGCAAAGCACGTGTCTTATGTTGATCAAAAGGGAAATTCAATTTTTATTTCTTTAATTAACCTAAAAGAACACCTTAGAACAACGTATTTAACCTGCCCTAAATAACCTCTTAAAAGATCTCGCAATCAATTGATGACAGACATCGGTCTTCAACAATTGATACACTCACTGTGTTCTAAAATTACTTTATAGGGTAACCCCCTCTCTTGTGTGCACCACACCTATCGTCGACTACCAGCCGACGTGCAACCCCGTTACATGCTCGCTGATGCCCTCTCATTCGAACAATGGTTCCTTACGTGTCTATGACCGTTGACGGGCGTAGGCGCTTAGGCCGGCCAGATATATATTGGACTTGAGCAAGCGATCCATTGCGACGAACGACCGCTTTACCGTGGTGTTCTCTGGTGCTCCCTACCCACGTTGACGGAGAGTTATTGGTCTGCCTGCACTGGAAGGTAGATGCCTCTTAGTATCACTGCTGACTGGAGTACTTGAATATAGATCCTGAGCAAGGGCTTGTCCACCATTGAGGACCACGTTGACTTTGCCAAGTGGTGTCGATTTCGCGGACGAGCGCTGCGTCCCACTGGAACACGACGACATCAACTACAAGGCGTGCAAAGCGGCGCTCTTAAACGCTATAAGAGCCAATTGGTCTCGTTGTTCTCGGTTGGCGGAGAGGTCCGCAATACTAAATGCACTTAATATGGTTTGGTACGCATAGTCTTGTTCTGGAGCGTCAAGTGTTCGCCATCGATGCCTCGCTGACCCCGCAAGCCATGGTCAAGGACTATGCCAAGATGCTGAATTTCGTGTGGGAAAGCGATGTGAGTCGTTGATCTTCTTCTTTGATTGTTGTCGTGCAACAACTAAATCTGCTGTTGTTCGTGGCTCCCTCGCATTGATCAAATTTACTGAACATGGGTCCATCTGGACACATGTGTTCGCTCTTTCCTGGCCATCCGCTGCTGGAAGAGAAGACGCTGTTTGTGGCCTCCACAAAAGACTCGACGAAGCCACCGTCGCAGCGCATCACGCTCACCTACCCGGTCATAAACAATGTTGCCAATGTACGTGCCTCTTGTCCATTGATCGGAGTGCTTGACAAACTAATTATGACACGTCCATGCTACTTGTGTAGATTTCATTCGTCGATACAGATACTAGTAAGGCCGAGCTGATTCTGAACATGATCGGCGTCGAGAAACAACTCGCTCTTCCCGCCGCCAACATCAAGCATACATGTAGATCTTTTTGTCACAGAGGATTCATTGTGAAGGTTGATGAAGAAACTTACAAAGTGTGCTACGACATGTCCAAGGACAGCTTCACTGTCACTGGCAGGTACAAACTTACTGTGACCAGGACGAACAACTTCAACATTACCCCGAGGACGGCAGATTTGACTTGCGACATCGTGGTCGTTCAGCCTTTTCCTGTGATTGAAGGCGTCGGTAAGGCGTTGCTAACACTTACATACTAGTCGTAGATCCTCTACGCTTGACTGCTGTAGTAAGACGGTGTTGATACTCATGCTTTCGTTGAAGCGGTGTCTATGTTTCCCGCAGTGTGTTTGCCACGAACTGGCAGTTAGCATAGATTGATCTTTTGTGGGATCCTTTCACCCACAAAGTGACATGTGGATCAAATAAAATGATGTTTTGCAACTGAATCGCCATATCAATGTGTCTGTTTTCATCGGTCTTTATTGCTCTGTTATATGTAAGTAAGGACATAGGCGTTCTGGACTAACGAGAGATGTAACGGGCTAGTCACTCTCATGATCCATTCGAAGGCTCTCAAAGATCTACATGTACTGGTGGTGAGTACCCCACGGAATTTCCATGATCTGTCGGAAAATAAGATTGATTTGCGGAATCGGATTGTCGCCGGATTCCGTCGACAAACACGGATAGCGGGATTGCCGATCGTAGATTATTTCCCGCGTCACGAGAGCAACACCATCTATCAGCTCGTAGGCCGTCCATAACTTGTTGATACCGGACGCACCATTCGGGAGGAACTTTGCGTAGGCATTGTAGCAAATGATCCGCCCGCCGTTGGTCAATACAGGTCTAACCACCATGGTATAGTCGACATGAGGAGTAAATGAATTCAACTGAACGTCGATGGAGAACATGGGCCATGTTGATGTCGACTCAGCTTGAATAGCGCGTGCGCCAGAGTCACCTGACAGCGCCGCATGTGCGGTCAAGAGCAACGCGGAGTAAGCGATCGTCCAGTACTAAAGAGCTGGATCCATCTCGAACGTGCAATTGGTGCGCGGCAGCTATAGTTGAGTCATACGAGACAAATTCAACTATTAGTCGAACATGCTCACGATTCGGGCACCGCAGCTGAGCTGAGTGTATGCTAGATAGGAAACAGTCTAACGTCACGGTCGGACGTCACGGTATGACATCTGGGTATGACGTCACCGTCTGATGTCACCGTCTAACTTCACCTTCTAACGTCACCGTCTAACGTCACAGTTCAAATTCACAATCTGACGTCATTTGGAACATTTTAGAAGGACTCTGAATGATAGGCATAGAGGTAGCACGATGGACCTTGACCAATTTAGCTTGGAGATTCGTAGGTACACACCGACCCTTTGATACGTACACACACCCTTAAAATAAAGGCCCCTCCTGAAGTACCGTGTTCTCCCTAACGAGGTACTGCATTGTTATACATACAAAATGGCCTATAAATATTATCTGCTACGTACACCCACGTCCGTAATACGGGTCTCTTTTGTGTCATCATACAACCTTGCGAATGACTTCCGCTCATTATCCGGTACACCCCCTAAAGTACGCATAATACTACCATTTCGTCTATTGTAAGATAATTTCAACTTTTGGATCAAGTATTTAGCTTACCTCTTACTGGTCATGAATATTAACTATCAATAAAAAGGCATACACACACCCAGTAAAACTTTCTACAGTAATCTTCAACATAATTGATAACGTGAATGCAAAAAACAAAGATTTCGCTTTTTTGTATAAAATGCACTGCGATATCGACAATGACCGAGGAGAAATGTCTCACATGCATTAAAGCTGGCGTTGGACCAGACCATAAAATGGCGGCTTGTTAAGTGTTTCGATCTATAGACTGCTGCATAACAGTAGACGGTACGCGCATCGCAATGCACAGTTTTGTGATTATTGGATTAGATGGAGGTATACGTATCAAAGGGTGGGTGTGTCCCTTTGAATCTTCTTATTATTATAATAATAATTATGATCAAGTACACGGCGCTTCTGGTCGACTTCCGACACTGCTGTGACCGACTGTCGATCATTCATCGAGCCCAGCTCTCGGCCACATACAAAATTGCAGTTTATTTCGATCATCAATCGATAACGGCTCGTACTCGAGTTGTTCAAAACTATTGCGAGCTGCAATAAGTTTTTTAAGCGAATCCTTACGGACAAAGCTTTCGACGAATCCTGATAAGAGCGTTACACGCTTGAGCCAACGACACTTCGTCTCGGTTGTGGTTTCCGTGGTACCATCCATGTTTATAAACGACATCAATGTAGTAATCATGCTCAAAGCGATAGTTCTTAGCACTGATATCAAGATTATGAAGTCTTGATAAATTGAAAAGTGGGATCCGACAACTCATAGTAATATGATTCAACCACTCTCTCAGATTACTCAAAAGGCATCCATGGCATGTTCTCAGAAGCAGATCGTAACGCATTACGATCTGGCTCCTCTTGCGTAGTGTCTCTGGGTACACTACGATCGCTGAAATCACTGGGATTGCTACGGCTACGATGACTCCGCGATGAGTAATCGGCACCATCACGATGACCAGCGTCATCATGTTTATCATTCGCATCAAAAGAATGCGAGTGCAATCGGCTTGACCCCCGCGACGAGTCCCCAGAACTGCCGGATGAGCCGAAGTATTCGTGACGCAAGTCAGGATCGAGAAATGCCACGAGGTGTGGCAGCCGTCGTTTCTGCACGGGCAGCCTTACGGCTGGACTTCGCGGGAGAATTCGAGTCGGAGGGAAAGTCCGATTCGCCCGAATAGAGAATCTCTATTTCGGAGTCGTCGTCCATATGATTACCACCCGTAGCAGAGGCTGCGGATGAATAAGCTGCACGTGGGAGACCACCTGCAACTGCAACATTGAGTGTCGCAGGATGCTTATCAGCACCAGCAGGCGACTAAGCACCTGCTGCCAAGTATTGAGATGCTTTCTCTCCGGATGCACGCATCCGTGAAGCCGCGACAGTTGCGGCCTTGTTCGCGCAGCGCATGGACGTTCTCGTCCTTCGCTGAAAGCTAGAATGAGTTGGTCTAAACCAACAAGTGCTCCCTTTCCCATAGAGCGACCAACGATGGTCAATCTGTAACCAATGAAATAAAATCACTCACTGTAGTGACTGATGGTCAAGGGGGTGATGTAACGGGGTGAGACCGTTACATAAAAGTTTATACGAATCTATCAATTTTTAGGTATTATCCATTACGATAATACTCAATCAACATCACTCGAGAAGACGTGGTGTTGGCGGAAAATTAACCCGAGGGTAATATTCTTGGGTGCTCCACTATTGGTTGATGTAGACCACATCAACCAAATTAACCACCAATCGCTGCTGGACGCGCTCAAAGAGCGGTGGGCAATAGAACGACATAGGAGATTGTATCATATTATAGTTAGATCAAGACGAAAGGTGATTTACAAAGTTAAATAACAATATCAAATGACAATTCTATTTTTTTTACTCAAACAGCGCTTTCGGGTTCAATTGGCTTCGGTTGCTCTTCCTCGCCACGTGTACGGGACGTCAGGAGCACGCAGATATGTGTTCAGTCAACATAAGGTCTTGCCAGTCATCTGGCAAGAGCGTGCCCTATTACACCAATGGTCCTTTTGCAATCAGGAATATAATTAGATATACTCAATACAGAGCAGAATTTTCCAAGTCCAAGACACGTGTATACTTTTAAGGTAAGTCATTGCGTGGGCTAAATTATGCCTGTTATCGAGCCTCCAGGAGCATAGATTGTAGAGGTCTTGTTCGGAAGCATCAAGAGTTAAGTCGGTCCGGACTGGTCAATAATCGCTTCCAGCGAACGATAAGACTCGTCGCACGGCAAGCTGATGACCCAGTAGATGGCACCGCTTTAAGTCTCGTCGCACGGCGAGCCGGTTACCCAAGACGATATCGCTTTAAAACTCGCGAACGGCGAGCCAGTGAACCCATAGACGACACTGTCCAAAGACTCGTCAAGAGATGAGTGGGTGGGTCTTTGACCAAGGACACCGTAATTTTTTATTCGGGCGTATACTGCGCCCGGTGACCTGTAAAAGCGTGAAAACGCCGACGTCTACCCATTGGTACGCGGTCACAGGATTACAGAAACGAAATCTGCTGAGATCCTCAGGCAGTCTTCTGAAGAAGAGAGTGATTGGTTGGAGGCATTCAGATAGTTGAGAGCCACAACTTAACAGAAGACGTGAACCACGGAGTGAATTGACCCGACATACTAGCCCAACTGCGCCGACTATCTCGGCGACTGTTGTGTTATTACATTGAGACTGTATTTCCACACATTTGACTAACTACCATACCACAATAGTGTAGTTGCTACTACGAAGAGAAGGTCGGGTGGTATATCGTACTTCAAAAGTAGCAAATGAAGAAGGAGTGTCATTATCCTCCTAGCAGTACTGATTACCTAAGTGGAATTGGTCATGATATAATGCAATTAAGGATTAGCAATATAGAATTTTCGCGTGCTTTAGCTTGCTCATTGATTATGTTTTGATAAAATGAGCGCTTTACAAGACATAAAATGTAGGCATGCGTCCACATTGGAAGAGTTGTAAGAACATAAAGCCTGGAATCGTAACATATCTTGTTGTCCTACGTAACATCCAGCGGGAGGACTAAAATGACACATGTGCTCTCTTGCGCCACGACGTGCTCGCCAAATTGTGGTGAAGTGGTGATCACAAATATCTTGTCGTCCCGACTCTCCACTGGCTCCTGGACGACCGACGAACGGACGGGGTACCCCGATTCTGTGCTCTGTGTTTTCTTGATTACCTTGTGTACCCGTCGGTGGGGCGGGTCGCGCTCTTCTTGGTGGACTTGAGTTGAAGCTGAACTTGACCGTTTTGGGGATAGGTGTTAACCGGGTGTAAATTCGTTTTCCGGTCAAACGTGAAGTGGATCGAGTGGAAATTCTCCACTCGATCGCAAGTGCACCTGGGCGCTCTACCAGAGTCGCCTGTATCCAAAGGTGATGCTCGAGTCGCGAGACTTCTGACCAATTGAGCCGCCTCACGATCTTTAATCTGAACCGTTAGGTTCCCTGCGTCAAATCGCAGTCGGGGGGAGTGAGAACTGATGTTCCGCCTATCTAAACAATCCAAAGGCGAAATTTGTAAAGACGTGGGTGACTCTCTTTTTAACAGGAGGCCAAATTTCCTGTCCGGGAGAAGTCGACGCGTGTCTTTCGTTGCAAACATAATTCTATTAAATGTCAACCAACCGAATCCAAATCCTATGGCTATCTGTTCGCTAGGTCTCTTTTGCGTATCGCCTGTCTATGTCATTCACCTCTTGCATCATGTGGTCCACAGCATACACGCCGTAGTGGATCGCGGGGTAGTGGATCGCGGTATAGGATCCACATCAATTGTGTTTTACACGCAATTATGTGTCCACACAAACAAGCATTACACACCCAGGGTGGATCGTAATCAATCTTTCGAGTCTCTGATCGGGCATCCACCGTCGGATCGCAGTCAATTCTGAGATCTCGCATGTTTGATGATCTTGGCGATACACTCCCCCAGCTTGCTTCCATATTCACCCATCTTCTATTGCCGTCAGCAATCCAGTGCTCCGGTTGATGTTCACCCATTGAGTGATCCTGTCCTGGTAATTTGGTGATCCAAGCCCTTGATCGCGGGTCGCGATCGGTCAATTATCGATCCTCGACTATACTCCTTCTTGACTGTTAGACAGATCAACTCGAATAAATTCAACAGTCGCTTTCTGTCACTCAGTCGTCTGATCCATCCTGCGCCCCAACGCCACGGTTAATATTGTGATCACTGTACCACAAAATTAACATCTCGACTGTGACTCAACGTACCTTCGCAGCACTTCATTCTGCGGTTGAGATCTAACAAAAATGCATGCCATATTTACTAGCATAAAATGATAATTTGTCAGCACAGTTGGAGGGACTTGTGAAGCACTGGTATATAAGGTCAGCGATGACGTCCATGCGTGCTTACAAAAGCGATTACGCCGCCGTCGAGTACATCAAGTCTAAAGTTTACGAGGCGAAAACTTTGATCGTCTCAAAAAGCGCTACATTTAGGTATTTGGCTCGCTTATTTTTCGCCAGTCACGAATGTTGCAAGCTAATTACAAGACACATCGTTGCTACCCATGATGCACTTCTACACATGGCTGACAAATTTCTGGTTTATTGCGTTTGTGCAAATTCCGTACGATGTTGAAATTTAATTTGTTACAATGCAAAGTCACTAAGATACAGCCGAAAATAGCTGCCCACAAGATCATTTTCTATTCGTACATCGTCGATCAAATTGCAGCATTTTATCAAAGGGTCCCCACGATAATTGCAACGAATTATAATCAAATGATTTGTATCTTGTGTTGCGCTACTACATGTATGCAAAAAATGCTGCTGCAAAACTCAATAAAGTATACATATATGCAAAGATGAACGACGATACGTTTGCTGTTCTTATCGCGTAAAGAATTGGCTCACTTTTTACGTACTAATGTCAACAATGAGTAGGCATCCAAAAGCTCTTAGCACTGTGGCGACTTATATAATCGAATTTGCATACGGAAGGCAAATAAGAATGATGCGACAAGCTATAATGTAAATCATTTTAGCATCACGTATGCTGTCTACGAATTGGTCCACGCAGAAGGTGGGAGAACGGCTGCAGGAAATGTCCCAGTTGCAAACACTGCCACTTGCACTGTTAATGTTTGTAGGCGCATGTTGCTAAGCCAGGTTACCATGCCCTCTTCAGTGACAAAACAAGGTATCATACCCGACTGTATTCCTTTTCGAGTCATCTCGCACAGCGAGTAGGATGGGCGGATCCCAAACCTCCACCGCTCCAGCGATCGTATTTTTGCTTTCTACACAAAGCGATCGAAAAAAACGTCCCTCTCTATCGTCATACTCATTCGCCATATTTTATTCAATTCGCCCCTCACAATAAGTATTAAACAATCATCACATCAACCCCAACGTATTAAACATTATCAGCGACCGAAGGAAGGGATCGGACGAGTCTGCTCCTGCCTCGACCATGGCAAGCAGCGAAGACGCCAGCGCGCCACGTTTGAACGTATGGACGCCCAAAGAGTTCCGCGACCTCGTCAAGGCGTGGGAGCTCGCGCTCGCGCGTCCACAGGCGACCACTGACCGCCCCGAGTCGCTGCACGACACAGTGTACGACCAATTCGTCGCGCTGTGTGGCGGCCATTCGCGTCGAAATAAAGCCGCCCTGACGAGTAAACGCAGCGCGCTTAAATTTTCGTACCTTCACGTGCGCGACTTTAATCGCTCGCAAAGTCGGCACAAAGCGAAATTGTTTTTTGATTTATCGGAAAAAGAGCGCCGCAGCATTTTGAAACAATTCAAAAAAACGAATTCTAATGTTTTGGACATCTCGCGCGAGATGTATAAGGCGCTGGAGCGCATCATTCGACAGGGAGGAGGCGACGACGACGCGGCGGTACTGCCTGGAACAAGACCGAAGGAAGAAGAAGACCGAAGTGCGCGCACAGAGACGAGGACAAAGCGGACGTCGAGTGTGAATTGGACTGTACAACAGACTGCACCTGGTGACAAGATGGCGGATAAACCGGCGGCTGGATCACGTTACAGTACTACTCCTGCTAGTAGCAGTACTACTTGTACTGCTCGTAGTAGTAGTTTAAATGCTGATACTAGTACTAGTATATGGTCCGTGGACGAGATGCGGCAGCTGGTCAAGGCCTGGGGCATTGCAGTCCAACTGGTCTGTGCGAATTCGACGGGGCAATCCATGTCGATCATCCAAGAATTGGGTCGGCAATTTGAACTGCTGCAAGAGGGGAAGAGTGGATGCAATTTGCAGGGTCTGGCCACGCGACGGCGAGCGCTGAAGCTGTCGTACACGAGGATCTCAGCCTTTGACAAGATCCAGGAAATGAATGGAGACGTTGCTTTTGCCAAGCTGCCGTTGCCGACGAGACAGACGCTGATCAAGTCGTGGAAAAATGCAAATTTGTTGGACTTGCCAGCCGACATCTACTCGGAATTGACGAAAGTGATCCCGTTGGATACTCGAGCTATAGCTCTCGAAGACATGCGCCGCGCTAAAGCAGGCGAACCGGTGAGCGTAGGGGGTGGACGCTCAGGACGGAAACAAGGGAAACCACTGAAGCAGCCGAGAATCGTGAGATCAGCGCAAGACAGTAACGGTGAAGAAAGTAGGCGAGTGGCCGCCGTCCAACCTCCACTTGTTGCTGTTGACAGTGAAGAAGAGAAAGCTGGTGTTGTGAGAATGGTTGTGCACAGCCGCTTGAGTCTGAACGATGAGGAGAAGGATGCCGACCCGAGTGCCAGAAATGCGCGCCTCACGGAGAAGAATACTTTGTCCGTTCGTGTTGAAGACGATGCCAGGCAGGCGTCAGCAGGCGGCGATCGTAACGCCACGTCTACTGCAAGACTCGGTATCGATGAAATGGTCCGCAGTACTACTGAGGACAACGTTAGTTCTGGTCCACGCAGCAATGCGACATTGACGTCGTGTTCACCACGTAAATTGAGCAGTGTATCTGTTGTTCCTCTGGCTGAAGGAGATTGCGAGAACGCGGGCAAAACGACTCGTTCTGACGGCGAAAGTTGCGGTGATACGCCTGGACATGCTGAGCTTTCTCGCGATCAATTGATGATGGACAAAGTCGTTTCCGCTGGCAGTACTCCTGGTATCGAGAAGATAGAATTGTCTACTATGGACCCATGTCGCCAAGCCACGGTTTCGGAGCCACTGACTACCAAACTAAACCAATGTGCTGCAGCTGTTGATGGTGTTGCACTAGATAATTGCGAGAGCACACCTCAAAACGAGAGACCATGCGTTGCCACAACTCCGGCCGATGGCAAAGCGGATGCTCAGAAATTGGCGAAGAAAAAGCGCAAGCTTCGTGTCGATGGACCGAAGGGACTGCTGTGGGAGAACAGTGAACTCCAGATACTCATCCACGCATGGGAACGAGCATCCATCCTAATGTGTAACAGCGACCCAGCTGAGCGTTTGTCTCTCAATAAGGAGATGTATCGCGAGTTTGTACAGATGCAAGGCGGGTCGTCAGTGCGAAATAGTACGGCCCTTGCAGCGCGCCGTAGCTCACTGAAGTTCTCTTATGCCCACATTGAGTCATTTGACAAGGCACAAGAGGCCAAAGGAGAGCCGTGTTACCACGAAATCCCAGAAGACAAGAGGATGGCCCTATTGCGATCGTGGAAGAACCGCAACTCTGTTGATCTCACGAAGGAAATGTATGATGGTTTGGGGCGTATTCTAGCCATGGACGAACAGCTTGCTAGAGTCCGAAGTCTTCGCCCGCCTCCACTGCTCAAATTTAAGAAGAAAGCCGATAGCCCTGAAGAGGCTAAGCACTCTGTGCTAGGACCCGATGCGAGCCACTTGTTTAAAGCCGCAAAATGGACGACTGAAGAGTCATCAGACTTGATCAAGGCATGTGCAGATGTGATGAACTTTCCTAGCGACCAGGAACAGTCACCGACGAAACGCGAATCCTTGATCTACGATGCATTCGTGACACGTCGGCAAAACGCGGGGGACACCGAGATACCTTTTCGTCGTGATCTGAGATCGATGGCGCAACAATGGCGATATATTCTCGCGTCATATTCGTACATCAGAGCATGCAACGACAATTGTTCAGAGGGAGAGAGCCCGTCCTGGTTTGATATGTCGCCTGTACAAAAGCGAGCATATCAACAGTGTACGAACGTCCCGGCGAAATTTGTAGATCTCGATGCCGAGATGTTTGCGTTAGTAACCAAAACCTCATTTATGGGGGAAGCAGCTATATCTCCGCCATCACCGGTTGTCAAAGGCGTTACTGAAGGTATTTCACTGCGCCCTCGGTCGATGCGAAAGAGAACAGAGGCGTTCTGGTCATCCGATTCCGACTCATCGGTGAACTCGTTGCCTCGCGCAAAACGCACCAGCAAAAAATCCCCTGTTGTGTCTGCGGGAAAGAAGGTAACCAATTGGCCTGTTGAGGAAATATGGGAGTTGATTCGGGCGTGGGATGAAGTATCGCGTGTGATGGGCAATTGTAGACTGTCACTAACGCTGGATGAGACGTTTGCTCTTTTCACAAAGGCGCAAGATGGGCCTCCGATTCACGGACGCACCCATAGTAGCGTGCGAAACAAATTGATCGCGCTGAAGTCTTCCTATTCCAAAATTACAGCTTACATCTCCGAGCGGGGCGATAGTTCGGCTTGGTTCGACATGCCGCGAGCAGAGAGAATGATTGAAATCCGTAGCTGGAAAAAGAAAACGATAATAGATCTGGGCAGAGACATGTATGATGCGCTGAAGCAGATTGTGCTGATAGGGGGGAACGGAGTGCGAGGTAAGCGGACAATTCGCAAACTGGATCGACCACCAACAAGCCCGCCTGCTTCTTTTGGCTCGAAAGACCCGATCGAACAAGACAGGAAGGATCATGCCTGGCAAAAGCCCGAGAAGTCTGTAGTCGCCAATTGGAGCAAGGAAGAGCTGCTTATGCTTGGCGAAGCTTGTGGCGAGCTGCTGGAAGGACGGCGAAGTCGGCGGTATGTGTTCGAGGAGGAAAAGGATCGCTTTTTCCGTCGCTATGAAGAGTTGGGTGGAACCAACTCGCCGACGGCAGCAGTAGGACTTGCACGATTCGTGTTGGACTCGTACGAGTTCATCTACTTCTACGACCAGAAGGCAGCCGAACGTGACTCTCTCTTCTGGTTCGAGCTCGACGTTGCCGACCGAGAACAGATTGTAGCTAGAATGGGCAAGACGTATCGCAGCTTCAACGGTTTGAGCACCGTGGACAAGGACATATTCGACGTGATTGACGGAATCGATGCTGAGCTGCGTGTGACGCTGGGCGAGACGAAGAAAAAGACATACAAACCCCCGAACGACGCTTCTTCTCGCTACGTCGATATTGAAGCTGTCGTTGACCAGTGCGAGTTTCAATTGAGAAATGGTGCGGCTCCAACGAACCCCAAAGCCCGCGAAGCGTCAGCAGAGTCGGAAGCGTCGTCGTCGGATGAAAAGGCAGATGTGTCGTCGTCGGATTCGTCGTCCGCGGAAGAGTCGGCTGGCAGTGACTCAAGCGCCCCGGTTGGTGTGAGGTCGCGCCGAGTGACGCACTCCGAAGAGAAAGTCATTCGTGTGCCAAAACACCATGTTGTTCGCCCTGGATCAAACGCTGCTCCTAGTCGAGCTACTCCGCCCTGTAAGCGCAAACGAGAAGCAGTTGCTGGCGCGTCTTCGACGCTGTACATCACGGAGATCATTCAGAAGCAAAACAGGAAACTGGAACAAGCGGTGAAGCGGTTTCGAAAGGAGAGCGCAGACAATCGCAAGAAGCATCATGCGTTTTTGGTGCAAAAGATCCAAGATAGCTTCCCAGTTGACACCGGCCACGGTTCCTACCTAGAGCGAGTTGCGGAACGGCAAGGCCAAACGTTAGTGGTTATTTTCCAGAAATTGCAGCAGCATCGCGACGCTGAAAAGGCGAAAGACGAGGAGCTGATGCGCGAGTTGTTTGGTCAAAGTGGACCGTCTTGAGTGACGCCATGTGATTTCGCGATGCGAGAGACAGTGACGATCGACAGTACGAGTGTGACATTTACGACCTTACGGTTCATGCGTAAATACATGTGCAACACGCTTATTGCTTGCGCGGTTATACCTTCGTGTAGAAAACTGCTCCGCACGTCGTATGTGTCTGGACTTGCGCAACGTTCGTCAATTGACCACCTCCAGGATATGCTACAGGACCAACGCTAGTGCTCACAACACATCCACTAAGCTGACACATCGGCAAGACGTCAGAGCAAACGTCGCCAATACTCTTTGCATGGACAACGTCCTCGACTTCATTCAGAGCTCCAGCAACTATAAACGCACCGAATGCACGCTCACTAGCCAAGACCAATCGGGCTTCTGTCCGGCAAAGTGCCTCAACTAGCGCCCGAGATGTTCTTTTCGGTTGATGCGAGGCAAGAATGCCGTACGCATTTCTCTGCCAGCCAATTTCTGACAGCGACATCAAGCTGCCTTGCCACCAAAACACGACTTCCAAGCGATCGATTTGCGCCAAGTTTGAGACCGCTGACAGCTCGCTTTCAGATACACCGCAACAGGCGAGCACGTGTTCCAGCGGTGCACGGTCTTGGCACGAATACATATTGACGCGTCTGCCCTCTTCTTCAATCATCCGTCTCTCAGACGGCGCAATGACGTCCACGACGCGAAGCTGCCGGCTTTTTCCCCCATTCTCATGGTCCAGTAGCGCAACAACGTCGTGCGTCACGACTTGGCTCAGCTCATCGGCTATGCTCGACTGCAGACATTGCATTACGGGCGTGATCGGATAATAGCCACTGGATGCAAACGACCGGATGCCGACGTGGCCGTACAGCCGAAGCAGTAGTGTCGAAGGAAAAGCGACTGAGCTCTGCAAACGAGACGATCTCTGCTGCGGTGCCCGAACTTTGTTGCGATTTCGGCTTCCACGTGCAGTACCAATTGCCTGTGCAGTAGAGTACGTTGCAAGCGGAATGCACTGGTCAGTAAGTGATGAGGACACCGCTCCAACGACTGTAGCTCCTGGATACCAATTGCCCACTGCTGCAGTCAACTGGCTCGCACTCTGATCGTTGCTGCCAAACAATAGAAACGATGGCTGGACAGAGTCAGTGTCGGCGTTGTTGATCTTCTTGTCGTAAGCGGCGGCAGGAAATGGGTTCACAAACGAGTGCGTTCGTGAGGCCCGTCTCAGCATCTTTCGGTCAAATGTAGCCATCTCCAGCGTCGTGTCGGACAAGTGGGCTACTGTAATTGACAAGGTCACGCCACCGGGTGGTCCGTAAACACTGTCTCCAGCCACATTATCAGTCACTTTTTCCACTCCTGTAACAACTGCATTCCTCGTCAAGATGCCAATGAAGTGGCAACGTGGAGGTACCCATTTCGCTTGTTCCATTATGGCTACAACGTCGTGCCAAAACTGGCCACGACGCCAGGGCGTGACATCGTCACTGGCTGCTACGAGTAGTATCAAGTTGGGTACAAATCGAGTGTCGACCCAGTGGGAGGCATTCGACCGCACGAGGTCGAGAGTTTTCGAAACGGTCGCAGCGGGGCCGAGTACCGTCGTGCGCCATTCGGACGACATTGTCTCGGCGGCCGTCGCCACGTTGCGCCACTCGGAACACACGCGGCCCAGCGCCCTCGTGTCTCGCCATGTCAGAAATGGCAGTACCTTTTGTGCCCAGAGATCGAACGGTAACGACGACCAGTGAAGCGGTCGATGCATTTGGTTCCGCGGCGACCGACCGGTGCGCTCCACGCCGCAACGACTGCACGACAGATGCGACGTGCGCACCTGTGTCGACGCCGAGTGGCACTTGTTCATGGTACAGTGTACCACCTGGCCGTATGGTGGCACATGGTACCGCACGGCACAACAATGAGGAACCGCCCGAGTGTGTGTGGCATGTAGAAAGCAAAGCGTGAAGCGCCTGGTGAGGTGTGGCACTAAAGCGAGGGTAAACAAGGCTCGTTGTGTACGAGGCTCGTTGTGTACGAGGCTCGTTGTGTACGAGGCTCGTTGTGTACATTGACGTTTCCTGCAAGAGCAGTCTATGTGGTGGCAGGGCCACTACTGGCCCTCTGCGTTTCTGTTTTGATCAATTTCGTGCGCTGGAGCGCGTCATCGGATGCATGCGTTGCCCATCGTGAGCAGAAGGACACCGCAGATGGTGCAGAAGGAGGAAAAGCGTGTGCTGTCATTGCTCGCTGCTCGCTCGCTCCGGTCGTCGGATCAGACAGCGTCTGCCTATCCAGTGTCCGTTGGGACTTTCGCTTGCACTTGTAGAGGAGGTTTCACTGATGGCCAGGGTGTGTAAACATGGCCTATCTTTGGCTGGTAGTGAAGTCTATTATCTCTAGAACGGCTGACAGGGAAGTCTTTTGTCAGCAGAACGGCTGGCTGGGGAACACTAACAAAGTCACACGTGATCGATAGTTGAGACTGCACCCTATAGCACCCAAACGGCAAGCGCAATGCCAGCCGCGGTCGGTTGTGACACCAGACTGGTTATTTGTCACGCCCGAGAGCTAGTCATCACAGCGCCATATGCAGACACTTAGCGGACGCAGCTTTTGCGCAACTCTGACCTGCCTCAGCAGAACACGTCAGCAAGAGAGCGTTGGCTGGTGGTAGGCATTGTCGATTTCGCACACTCGAGCGCCAAGCTTTCTTTCAGCCACAGCCGCACTTCTTTTCAACCGGAAAAGACTTACACCACCACCACCACCACCACCATCACCACTGTCATGCAGGAGATTACGGACGTCAAACTGTTTGCCCTGAGCGCTGCAGTGCTCTATATAAAGTTCTTGGTCTGTACGATGGTCCAAGGCCGAAAGGCATTCGCTGCCGGCACGCGCATGGCAGAGGACAGCAAGCTACCGCTGGCTATGAACGTCCAACAAGATGGGTTCATTGATCTCACGGACACCCATGTTCGCACAGCGGTCGAGGAGGAAATCCGGTGGAAACGGATCATCCAGAACGACCTCGAGTCGATGCCGATGGCTTACGTCGTGTTCTGGAGCGCCATCTGCGTCGGGGTGAACGCCGATATCACCAGGGTGCTGCTTTTGGTCTACTCGATCGCGCGGATCGGACACACCATCGTCTATGCTCAGAGCTTGGCCCGCGCTCGCTTGTTCTTCTGGGTCGTTGGCACGTTGTGCATCGTCACGGGTGCCGTGGCCATTGTCGTCGCTGCGTTAGCTTAGTTAAAAGAACGGTATTGATATGAAGGCAGTGGTGACAACCTTATTTCTCAAACAGACTCAACGATCCATGTCATCGTTTTCTCAACTCTTTCGCAATTGTATGATGCAATGCATGCTGGCATGCAAACTTCCCTATCGACGTTCCTCACTTCATGGATAGTTGTTACCCATTACGTGGTAACACACACACACACACCTTTAGATGCCACGCTACCGAGCGACTTTCACTCCGCAGCACTCAGCAAATCATGCACGTCAACGGTTGGCAAGTGTTAGTCGTATGACCTCACTTGCCACGCAACTCGGAGACGTCAAACGTACGCTTGATAAACTTGCAAGAATACAGAAAACAACCATGTGCACAACACAACCTCAGTCGCCATTACCGACGCTCTCGTCTTCTCGTCACTTACCCAGAAACGTCTAGCGTTTGAACGCGCTTGGACGCGCTACTTCACCGTCTGCTTTTTGGACACAATCCGTAAAAGGTCGTCCATGGTCTGCCAAACAGGTCAAAGCTTGCCGCGACTACCACTATCATCGTATTGGCTAACGTAGTAATGGCCACATTTGCAGCTTGAAGTCGCGTGTGTTTGTTACTAGCCACGTATTCAACAGAGCTGCGGTCAGCCACGGGACACGCCTTCGATAGACCCCCCCCCACCAACCGATAGCGTTTCGTTGCGTCCGGCCAATGTCTTTCTATCCATCTAGCCACGTCTTTAATGCTCCTTCCGAAACGGACGTTGTAGCCATCTCGATTGAGATGCTGCAAGTGATCATTCCTGAACTTCTTCTGCACGTCTTACGCCATGAACGGCATTACGGACGTCAAAGCCTTTGCGCTCAGTGCTACTATGCTCTACATCAAGTTCCTCGCGTCCACAATGGTCCAAGGACGCAAAGCTTTTGCAGCCAACACGCGGCTGCCAGAGGACAAGACGCTCGTGTGCACGATGGGGCTCACTCTCGACATGGACGAAAAGGCAGTCAAGGCAGCGCAGGAGGACGAGATGCGCTGGAAACGTATCGTCCAGAACGACCTCGAGTCGCTACCGCTTGCGTTCATTGTCTTTTGGAGCGCAATTGCGGTGGGCGTTGCCCCCTCGGTGATCAAGACGCTACTGCTGATTTATACAGCAGCACGGGTTAGTCATACTGTCGTCTACTCGATGGCCATGCCGCGTGCTCGCATGGCTTGCTGGATGACAGGCACGTTCTGCATTGTCGCGGCCGCACTTCACACAGTGATTTTGATTTAAACAATGAAAAAGCGAGCTGTTTTGAACACTTTCCACGTTTAGTCTTGCAAAAAACCTCGAGCGTAACAAGCAGTAGTAGTTTAGTGATTGAATAGTAGTACAGTAGGTTAAAGAATAGTAAAAGAGGCAAAATAGTAGGACGATATAAAAGTAGTAGGGTGGCATAGCAGTAGTAGTAGGAGGCGAAAGCAGTAGTAAAGACAAAACTTGTAGAAGAGGTAAAAAGTAGTAGGACTATTTTTACCTACTGAACCGAGCACCACGCTGCCGGCTCCTGGCCAGAAAGGTAGTGTTTGCCGCTCTCCCAGTTCGGACAACGGTCGCTCACCGTTACACCTGTGCAACACCCCACAGACCTGTTAAAATGCGCACAAATGAACATCTACCCACTCTTCCGCAACACGCACCGTTCAGCGCGCTCTCAATGTGCCAACCGCAGCCTCTCCACGTGGGTTTGTGGCACGTCGGGCACTCGATCTTCACACACATCTTGACGGCGCTCCGATTGAGTGTAGTTGAAAGGACAGCCGTAATTTTGTGAATGACGGAGTAGGCACAAGCGTGCGCATAGACAGACGGTCATGTAAAATAAGCCTTTACGTTGCAGCTTCCATTCACTTCAACGGGCAAATGCATCTGCGAAGGTTCCTGCATTGTGCACTACATTCATCGAGGATTGTCAATCGTATGCAAACATGCGCCATCAGGCTGTGCTGTGCACAACTATGCCAAAACATGTCGGCGTCCACGCGATCAAAATGGTTGCATGACTCGATGGAATATTCGCGCAATCGACCAAATCGGAAGGTGGCTTCGTGAGCGAGCACGCTAGTGGTCTGCGTGGGTGCGCAACAAGAGACGAAGTCTGGCAATGATCTTCACACGTTTGTAGCAAATGGCAATGCGCTGCAGTAGCCAGTCGACTGCGAAAAATTACCCTTCGAACTCACGACAGGCGGTTTCCAAACTACTAGGTTAATATGGGCGTTCAGTAATGATCAGACATGACATACGTTAACGACCTACCAGCAAGCACACTCCACTTGGGGCGAAACATACATACATCACAAAGGAGTGGTATGTCATGTATTGCATCGTGCGAGGGAGGATCATATGTATCGCACAAATACCTGAGTTACAATGTCATATGCTGCAGTACTACCCCACGAGCTCTTCGACTTTAACATAACTCTTCTTTACACCTGCCCAGGTATGCTGGAAACGCAAAAATTCATCGAGCTGCGACTTGCTATTCATGTTATTGTGCGTCCGGTCCTCGTTGTTTACACTCATTACTTCGTCGTTGAAAGGTATTCGTTTCGTCAAGTGTCCAACTGATTTGCGCTAGCACTGGACTGGACGCGGACAATCTCTGAAAACGCGGTTAGCAGCACACGAGGGACAGTCGTTATTTGCTTGTCCAACCAAGAGATTGTGGCGTACGATGAGCATGAGCTACTTACCCGGACCCGACAAACCTTGCCCGAGAGCACGTGCACTACGGACGAACAATAGAACGCGCATACGGCCCTGAAACTTCACATTTAGCACTCAATCACTCGCTCTGTTGTAAGGCAACATGGCTGGAACGTTGAGGGCCAAGAGAAGACGAAAACAGTGCTTTCGATGCAGATATCCATTTTAGCTCTTGAGCAACTTGTGCTTGTTTGGCGAATCCGTTGAAACTACCGTTGAGGTGGATATGCGATTGAACAGGTACTCATGCGAAATGATCCGACACCAGCACGTCGTCACTCATTCGCAAATTCACTGGACCACAAGCGCAAGCGAGCGAGAGACTGTAAATAATTGCTTTGATCTAAACATGTGCATGAAAGTGGAGTGCTCTACGTGCCACAAGGCCTCGTGGAAGGGCTGCGGGCTGCACATTGACTCTGCTCTTACCGGTACGTGTCTTCTTTGCAAGTTTGTACCGATAAAGAATACAACGAGAGTTGTTCTAATGGACTGTCGTGCCCGTCGAAACAGGTGTCAAGGAACAAGACCGCTGTCCCAACTGGAAAACGGGCAAACACTGACGGGGCGTACACCACGTGCTACAAACCGCTTTCGAGAGTGCATAGTAACCACTGCCGTGTTCCAGCCGACCGTCCGGATACACCAACAAAGATACGCTAATGTTTCAACATGGAGATGAAGGCGATAGCAGCAGAGATTCATTCACTGCAGTCGTAGCTGTTCTTCTGCTTGTTATTGGAGAAATTGGTGTCGGAAGGCCAGCAGCAATCACACTACGTGACAATAATCACTACAAGGGCAGATACACACGCGCACTCAGCCCACGACGTGCTGCTAGATCCACCCAGCCAACAACATCGCTGCATGGCGCTGGCCATCACTACAGTCGCGGGCGGCCTCATCCTCTACCGACTCGCCCACACTCGTGTCGTCTACACTTTGTACGCAACCAAAGGCGACGTCTGCAGTCCTTCGACCGCCAACGTCTCTCGCACCGACAACGCAGAGACCGTCGCCACTGGCGTACGCGGCACCGCCTGTTTGCTCGCAAACGTCGCCCCTTCGTCGACCACTGGCAACGCCGCGTCCGCCTCTCGACTAAAGCTCCGCAAGCTCCGCGACGCCCGTTTCGATCGTGGCCGCCCCATGTCGACGCTGCACTTTGCTCGCATCACTGGCGACGGCGTACACAGATTGAACGCCAGTGCCGTTGGGCGTTTGCCACTGCCGCTCGCGACCGCCAGTCGCCGCCGCGCGTTACTGGACCGCACGAACGTGCGCTCGGACTGCCCCACGAGCATCGCCGCGGCAGTGGACCTCGTCTTCTTCTCCTCCTTCTCCTCCTTCTGCGGCGTCGCCAGTAGCGTCGGCGCTGCTGCGGGGACGAGTAACCTGCGCATGCGCTTGCAAAACCACTCCATGTCGTGCAGCGCCGCGTCAAACAGCAGCCCCACAACGCCACAGTCAGTGGCCACGCGGACGTTCACGACGTCGTCGTCCACGAGCACAGTGTCGCGATTGCAAATGGCGTCGCCCGAGCGCTCGTGGACCGCCAGAGCGGCCGAGACAATGAACGGCACTTTGAACGCGCGGTCGAGCGGACGGCCGTCGGCCAGAGGCCCATCGGGGAAGAACGACGTCGTCTCGCGCGCGTGAACGGCCCACGAGCGGTCGTCGCCGCGGACGATGAGCTGCGCGGCCACTGACGGCGGGAAACTCTGCCGCAAGACGTCCTGAATGAGTGCGACTTGCGGACTGAACGTGACGATCGCCACGTGCACGTGGGCGTCGCAGAGCAGCGGCACAAGGAGCAGAAAGAAGCGGCGCACGTGCAGCTGGAGGTCGGCCGCCGAGGCGGTCCATTGGCCGCCCGTGTGCACTGTCACGAACGTCGCGTCAAAGTCAATGCAGACGAGTTTGGCGCCGATGTGCTGCAGAGTGGCAGCCGCTTCGAGCGCGTGGGCTTCGACGGGGTCGACGCTCGGCCGACGGCTGGAGGGCATGACCCCCGGCGAGACACGGAGTGCACTTTATCGATAGGACCGACAGGAGAGGGGACGGACCGGTAGACCGATAGACTGATGGGAGGAGAGCGGCGGACTGTCAGACCTGATGTGGATTCGATTACGAAGCGACAATTAACGTGTACTTTCGGTGCGCGAGAAAGAGAAAGAGAGAGAGAGAGAGAGAGAGAGATGAGGGAGTGTGGGGTTGGTGCCATGTTATGAAGAGCGTCAGTGGCGTTGGGAGTGACTGGACGGCTGGAGGTGAAGCGATAGAAGAGAGAGAGAGAGCGGTGGATTGATGGCGAAGGTGTCGACGTGTTTGCCCTTGTTGTGCGGGTGGTATGCTTTGGCACGACGGGTTTTCGAGAAATGCAGGCGGAGGCTGTGCGTGTTTCGGCAGTGTTGTTGCAACGGTCGATTGAGGCTCTGGTTGACTGGGAGACACTTTCATGCAAGAAGAGCATGAGAGTGTGCGGCTGTTCGAGCTGTTCGAGCTGTTCGAGCAGCAGAAAGAGGGAAGAGCTCATGCAGTGACAATTATTATTGATCGCGCGGTGCTTTATGATCGTCGGGGGGTTGACTTGGCCGACAAATGTCCGCGAAACACGGCAATTACGATGCGACTGAAGGGAAAACAACGACCGAGCGATGTGATTGCGAGCCAATCAGTGGTCTGTTTTTATGAGGATATAGTGAATGTACCAGAATATCACGAAAGTAAAACGATGCACACCTGACAATCACGAAAATAAAAAGATGCTCTGAATAATTTAAAATTGCTTCGAATAATCAAAAAGCGCTGCGACTAATATAATAAAAAAGGCACCACGGATGTTAATTAAACGACCGACCATCCACACGCATGGGGTCATTCCTATACGCTCACGTTTATCTGCTTCCTTTCCTCTCTTCTTTCATTGACTAGAAGCCAGTACATATGGTTGTTAACCGTTGCACAGCACAAAGAACAAGGTGCGTTGGCGCTCCAAACGTAGCTCAAGAGCGCTGTTTGTCGTTCATACGGCCACGTTGCTTTATGTGAGTTGGCATTGTAGTAACGTGTAGCTCTCGTCTCGGCAAATCGATTGGTCGAATGAGACGAGACAGCGCCGTGTTCACATGGCAAGTACACAATGCATTGTCAAGTGTCTAAGGCACGACCAGCCGCAGCATGAGATGGCGCAAAGACACGCAGAATTAGTTTGGGGCAAGATAGTGTACAGCAGACGGAATAATGTTGGCTGGAATGAGGCCGTACCACTCAAAACCGCTCACATCTCAACATTTCGGGAGCGTTGACGTATCTCCTATAGCTGGAGGACATTTCTGCTTTCTTTCAGCTGTGTCGAATTAGCGAGGGAGTTACTCAAACGCTGAAGTTCATGGTTACATCGTTGACTGCAGCGTTCGCATTAATTTGCTTTAAATTTGCGGATCTTGATACTCCTTGTAATTGGCTAATACTTAACAGGAAAAGCAGAGCAATTTTGTCGGTGGGTCCAATATAGGCAAAAAAGGCAAGCTGACCAACATAGCAGTAGTCATGTTGTATGCAGACTGATTCATAAAGCCGAAGTTTGCTCGAATCAAAACGAAACGGACAGTTATATGTTTGATAGAGCTCGATTGATGCTTGGACGATACTTTTGGAGCTGCTGCGATTTATGCAACCTTTTCCCCGAAGAAGCGGCAAGTTTGCTTTTCCTCGTCGTCACCTTTTAGAGCTGGTGCTGCATGTGCGAAAATGAGGATGGTCGTCTATGATCAAGATATGCGAGGTAAGGTCCTTTACAGGCTAGTGCCAAATTGTTTGACCGACAGAAGGAGAAAATGCTATATGCTTACAAAGTGAGAATCGAATCAAAAGACAGTTTCATTTTGTTGCTTGATCGAACATGTGTACGATGTACGGAAAGATGCCTACACTATATTCATGACGCATTCTGTCTACCCGGGTTGACACTGGATACTGATGATTGCATCACAGATAGTTCGTGTAGTGAGGCAACGTATAAGCCTGTCAATAATTCTTATAGCATAGAATGAGGCGATCAACGAGTACACAAAGCTGTCTGGCAGGGCCAGACCACCGCGAGTGCTCAATCCCTTTTACATTGCTACAATGTGTGTGCATCGCAACGCGTCCACTGAAAGATTTCGATGTGCTTATCAGCATGTTAAGGTCAAGCTTTTAGTATGCTGCACACTTGGTATAGACACATTTACAATCTCACGGTATATTTCTTCTTCTTAATTCAAAGCCCGTCTTTGTGTTTTTCTTGACCTTATGGAGAGCTCCGTCTTTTTTAATAAATTTTGGGAAACGTTGACCCCCCCCCAGGTTTTCGCTATCCACCCCCACCCCCACCCCTAAATTATACCGTAATTTACTCGAGTTACGCCTTCCGATTAATTGGATCGAGAATATTACCGGTTTCAGAAGTAATTTACAATCTCATTTACAAATGACAAACTACTAATTCTGAACAATCTATACATGTCGTTAAGTCGGCGATGTGTGATAATTTATTATTCATCTACTTCATTTGACCGAGTAATGGCTCGGTCAATTGAGACTTTTATACGAGCGATTCTAAAACAGGTTGGGCCTGTAGCGATTACCCTGCATGGGCACTGTGACAACGGCATCCAACAATACTATATTCAAAATTGACTTCGAGCCAGCCGCAGAGGTCTATCAAAAGGTACATCAATCGTCGTAATACCTGTCTAATTGACTCACCCAGACTAACGTGTAATTTGATGATGGTTGTGGCTCGACGTGGTGTCTGACAAGAGCCAGACTGAGCTTTCCTCGATAGGGGTACCCCGAATAGGCAGTCTGCATCCGCTGGGCACTACAATTGACTTCGTTCGATTCAAATGGAGATCGACCGCAGTATCGAAGCCCATTCCTCCTCGCCGTTGTGCACAATGCAGTCAAGTGACTGGTCCAAGCCGATCAACATGACAGCGGTGATCACCGGCATCAACGAGGGTGGCTCAATGAGCGCTTCAATCTCCGTCGCTTGCGGCACGAACGTTGTTTATATGGAAACATCTGCTTAGTCGTTGAAGACGACTATAAACAAGGTTCTGGTCGAGTACTTTCCACTCACGGATACAGTGATGAATCTGACTCCTATTGATGGTCTTGTTGATTCAGATGGGGCGCAAGCCGTAGCAAGCATAAACATGGAAAGTATATAAATTACGGTAATATATAGGGGTGGGGGCTGTGGTCAACGAAAACCTGGGGGGAGTTAACGTTTGCCTAATTTTTGTCTTGTGGTTTATTATGGATTATTACCCGAAAGGATTAGGTATATACTGGTAGGACTCCTGTATTCTTATTACCCAGATGTATTGATGTTTATCTGAGATATAATTCTTTATCTGTCATTCTCACATTTTGAGCTTGTACTACGGTGATAGCTCTCTCGCAACCCAATTCTCTGTCATTGACTTGTCATGGACATGCGCATGAACCTCTTGTCCTTGTAAGTTCATCAAGATTACATTGACCAAAAAGCACTTTATCATGGCTCTTTGTGAAAGCACATTGATGGATCACGGTCGCTTTCGCTCGACTTTTAGCTCGATTTTTTTTACCATTCTGGCAACCTTTCTTACCGAATGGTCATATCGATGTCGTCCGTCATATCAGAGCCATGGACTGCTTGGATCAGCAGCGGTCCGACACAAACAACAGAGATAAATCGAATACGAGTTGCGACGTCGTTGGTCCCACACAGTACGTCCAAAGTTGCCAAGAAAGCGCTACCACTTTCGTCGGTGCAACAGCCGTTTGAGGCTGTGAGTGTTCCGCCCGCTCGTTTCCTATACGCGATCGAAGCTACCGACACATTCTAATGCATACATACCATACCACCCAACCAAAAGCTCGTCGACACACTGTCCGACACATTCCACGGTGTCCTGTAGACTCGTTCAAGCGTTACCAAACCTACTACACCACCCCAAAGCACGAGTAGTACCCCACTCGCTCAACGTCGTTCACTCAGTGGTGGTGTCCATGGACAAACGGACTCACGCCCTTCTTCTGGTCCAAGTCGGCAAACGCGTGGTTCACGTCTCGGTGGTTGCACTCGTCCGCGCGCACGCACTTGATCATGTCGTACACGGACGCAGTCTCGGGCAGTTGGTAGTACGTCTGGGCAATGAGCGGTGCCTTCTGCTGCTTCCACGCGTCCAAATGGCCGTCTTCCATGTCCTTTAGCAGGTACGTGTACGTCTTGACGGCCTCTTCTTCCAAGTACCCGACAAAGCGGTGGCACGTTCTCGGGGACACGAGGTACGTGAGGAAAAAGCCATTGAAAAAGACGCCCTGCGCGGCCACAACGAGCGCACGGAGAAAGTAGCCTGGCTGCTTCATGTTCATGAAAATGAGCAAGTGCATGCGCTCGTTCTCGGCCTCTTCCAACAGCGTGTGGATCCAGCCATAGTCGCGCTTCAGGAGCCGGAGCGACCGCAGGTGGCGCAGCATCCCGCCGACCATACCGGGGACCCCGGCCACGGATTCCAGAAAGAGACAGCGGTTGAGCCAGTCAGTCTCCGTCATGGCCCCCCCGGGCCCGCGGTAGCGCGACACAACGTCAAAGCCCGTGCGGAGGGCTTTGACCGCCAAGAGCGCCGCGCGCTCGTAGAGTTTCCTTGTCGGGTGGTGCGTCTGCTCGAGAGTGGAAATCTTCTCGAGGTCGTACACGGCGCGCGTGAGCGGGTGGTCCCAAATGGGTTCGCCCACCTCATTCGTCGCGTATTGCGCGGCCGACTGCTTAAAGTGCAACAGGTACGCAGGTTCGTTCGTCACGTCCGTCGGCTTTGAGGCAGTGGCCGACGGGGCAGAAGTTTGCACAGACGGCGTATTGTCCTTTTCGTGGATTGTAAAAGTAGAATTGGCAGCCGATCGGGTCGTGAGGCACAACCCGTTGGTAGTGGCGCTCTGTCGGTGGCGTCTGAACAGACCCGTCGCTTGACGACGGGCGATGGGGTTCAACACGGACCGCTCGATGAAGTGGGCAGTAGAGGCAAAGTGCATTCTTTGGCGGTGGGAGAAGACGATAACGTGTGGCAGCTTTGCGGTGGAGGTGGACAATTCCGGAATGAAAGTAGTTGTTGACGGTGTGTGTGGTGTGGATTGATGGCATTCGATGCCAGAGCGCTCCAGCGGCACAGACTGCATAACTGTCGTACGATTTCGGGGTCGCTCGATACGATTCGGCGTCTTTGGCCGTCGCGTCGAAACTGCAGTTGAATGGGCAGCGAGAGAGAGAGATGGGGGTGAGACCAGGCGGCGGAAGCCGTAAGTATCCAAGACAACTTGCGCTCGGTACCGGATTGTCTCATCTTCGCGACAGTGCGTGTTGAATGAATCTTGCCAAAACAGGATGATATAAGAACTACAGCAACGATTGAAGCTATTCTTGTTCCCCAGAATACATCGAGTGGGGTGCCAGCGAGCACACTTTGGTACTCACGCTGGCCAGCATGATCCGGAGCCGACATTCGCTTCTGCGGCTGCTGCCCGAACATTATGGGAGCGTAAGGGTGCGGTTGCTAGTCGTCGTCTCGCGTACCGCCAGCTGGCGGGTGATGCGACAGAGCTGGCACGACGAGACTTTTCAATAATAGAAACGTGCCTCGAAATCGATGTACCGAGCTGTTGAGATGACTGGTGCCGCGGTCACGCGACTAACATGCATAGATGATGGTAACTGGTCCAATACGATGTATTTGGACATCGCCACGATCTCTCGTGTACGTATGTAGAATACAACGTCAGTCGTTTATCACTCAAGACAGAGGCTGCATGCACTAGCTGCGCACTTTAAGCTCTGGATGATCGATCGTCGAAAGCAACTTGCTCTGCCTTCAGCCCCGTTTCTCATGTCAGGCCTGGATGACCGAGACGCACGAGCAGAATCACGCAGTCATCGTCTAGTTGACGTGCGACAAGTGCGACGATTCAATCAAGATCCAGTGTCAGGTATTGCGTATATTCTGCTCCTGTCGGTTGGAATATTCGCGGCGCCATGGAAGTCGCTGAAACGCAATACGTTTTTCGATAAGTTGCATCTTAAGTATCGGTGTGCAATCAGGAGCCAGTACACTTACACAAAGCAGCCCGACAATTACCTGAAACGCAACCTTGCATATCAGGCCATTGCGGTCAACGTTGACTTGTACTATATCAGGCAGAGACGACCGCGACGGATCGGATGTTCACAGCCTCAATCGTGTCGTGCGCAATGCACCTGACACGGCACAGGCTGCGGAAAGAACTGCACCATACTGCACCTGATGTGCATTCCCGCACAGAGATCGAGAGGGTCATATGCCAAGCGAGCGCTATTGAGTGCGCCTCGACTTTGTTCATCTTCGAGACATAACTTCTATATGACACCGTCATGTAGATCCGAATTTGGATACGGCCGTTTAGTTACAGATAAAGAATAGTTCGGAGGTGACAGTACGTGCCGCCTGGATCAACGTCCACCGGAAAGCCGAGTTGATATGTCTGCAAGCAAAGTGCAGGTAGGCAGCTAGCAACGCTTTGCACGCCATACCGAAGCTCAAGAATCTTCGGTCTGGGTCAAGTGACGTAGATTCCGCAACCGCCTATGCATTGTCCCACTCGATGGCACTTACGTTGAGAGCTTACCTCACAAAGATGGGTAAACTCTTCGTTAATACTCCGAAGTTCCGCCGAACCATTGGGTGCAAAAGTGCTTCCTTCGAATTTGGGAACGTGCGAAACGACCACGTAGTGCCCGAAGGTGTCCTTGTCTACTACAAGGCATAAGTATTGCGCTGTTCTTCCAACGCTCATCTATGCATCTCGCGGCGTTGATAATGAGGCCGCTCTCGCAGTGGTCGATCAATCCGCAAAATGAGCACCGCAGCTTCATTAGTGACCAGCAGTCGTACGACACCGCATCATCGCCCGGCGTAAAATGCAGTAGTGATCGACGGGGCTTATGATACAATGTGCAGACTTGGCTATTAGCATACCAAAAATAAGTGCAGCAGGAAGAGATGATGGTCTTCTTTGCGTGATCCCAACGTTTCTCCCGCTTCCATGGTATTTTTCGTTTCGATCGCGACGATGCTATGTTGGCGACTGCATAACTTAAGTGCAACGTTCAAGTGTGTGCTTGGTGGTACCGGCTAACGTCTTCGTGCAACGTAAACACGTTATGGAAGCGCTACCTTCAGTGTATACGCGTGCATGAACGCTGTGCAGACAATGTCTACGTTGATTCGTTATCTCTGTGGCTCGAAAAACATGAGCAGTTTAGGTAGGACGCGCCTCATCTGCTGAGAAGGAAGTGTTTCTGTAATCGCTGAGCCTCAATGAGGCTTCGTATGCTCAAGGACACGAGGGATGGTCATCGAGGGGGAGGTGCGTGAGAAGGCGCTGTTATTGTATAGTGAGTACTACAAGTTGCCAGATGACATGACCATGTACACGTGCGCTAGTACAAGAAGGATGCCAGCCGTCGGCAGGAACCATCAACGTGTGCGTTTGACAATGACCTCGATGGCATCATTCGGGTCTACTGGCTACCGTCCTTTTTCGCTTTTCTCAATGTTTTATTGTGTGTTCGTAGTAGAAATCGGTTCTTCTTCACTGTAAAGTAATGGCAAAATGGACTTGAACGTCAACACATGCTCATGCCGACCGGCAGGTCAAGACAGTCGCACAGATCATTGTTTCGTCAAATATGTTGACCATCAGAAGATATGTGCTGTCGAAAAGTGTCAGATGCTTTATTTCGGACCAAATTCGATAGCCGAAGTGCGGAGTCTTTGCTTCTCTTGTGAATTAGTTTTATACGGTCCGCTCGCTGCCTTGCGAGTACTCACACGATTCCAACGATCCGTTCTTGTACAGGATCTGAATAAGCAATCGTCGAAGTATCTGAATGCTGATGTACAGTATAGTTCAACGCATCAGTGTGCTGCCGGCATCGCGACATATCGTGAGAATGTCCATCAAGACCGATGTAGACTTACCTGTCTGCCTGCAGCAACGCAGATATATGCAGAGGAACGACAGCCTCATTTCGAATTGATCGTGGGTGTCGTGGATTCGGCTACTCCAAATGCTTAAGCTATAGCACGATAAGAAACCGCCCACTTTCGATCTTCCTGTCGTCAATTGCAGCATTTCGTTCGTGCAAGGTTGGCATCGCTACAATTGGCCATGGCCAACCTTGCACGAACGAGAAAGTGGGATCTGTGTCATCTAAGTCCGGCACCTCGGTCCGAATCTACATCGGCTCTTTCAGTAAAGTCGACTGCTGGTAAATTATTGACTAGAACGACATTGCGGCTGGCAGAAACAAGCCCAGCTGGCTCAGTTTACCTCGCTTTAACAAGTGTTTGTAGCAGTCAGTATGTCTTGCTGTGCTGGACGCACAACCAGCGCTACAAGCAGATGAAAGCGTTGCATTTTGGACCTCTCACCTCGCGCAAACAGGTCGATCTGAGCTAGCGTGCGATAGTACGGCGAGTTGGCTGCAAGTGCACTTCTCTGTCTACAATTGTCGATTTCGGAACACCGCTCCGCATCTCGCGGTCACCTGAGGAGGATGTCGGGCTAGCCGGCAGATACATGAAGCAGCTCGCTCTTTTCGCCAGGCACGTCCGTGCGAAGTATCCGGTGCATGCACGTAGTCTTATTGACCAAACATCCGTTCTTTCTGCGATAGCAAATGTGCTACTACCGGTGAACAGCTGAGATTGTTCCGATGGTTCACACGTTGTGCTGATCCAAACATGTGATAAAGACAATTTCACATATTGACGTCAAGTAATACCAGGTAGGTCACCACCACCAACACCCACAACACGCCAGAGCTCCACCACATGCAACTGGTCGAGCTTTCTACACACTGCTCTTCGACAAAACTGTTGCTACTTCAAGTAGCGTTGCCAAATAGTGAGCTTAATCCAACGAAACAGACATCGCACGATGTGGGTAGACTGCATGGCATCGATGCACCTTATGGGGACAATAGAGAGTAAACAGCGAGCTTACTGAAAATGACAGCAAGCGGATCATTCGACGAGCAATGGCCACTCTATCAGCAATGCTCGTCATGACGATTGCACGACGTCAAGAAAAGCCGGGAAGTCAATTGTCGAGCTGCATCGTGCTTCGACGAAGAACAAATGGTGTTGCAGCTGTAAGCAGTTGGACGCGTCCGTCTTGACAGTGCATTACCGTCGTCTGTACGAAAAAATAAACAAAGGAGACGACTCCCTTGAGGTCGCTTTAGCGGCATTCTGAATATCCGTTGTGCTGCCACCTCATTGATCAACTTGCCTCTCTTGCTTCGAAGCAAATCCACCTCAAGTTGTTTCGCTGCATTGCTCTGATCCACGATGCTCAGCTCCATTGCATCACTGGCGACGTCGGGAGTGCTCCTCTTTGTGGTTGCAACTGCCACCTTTGTTCCCGATGGATCGTGGCCCACTAGCAAAGGCGCTGTGAAGTACGCGAGCCCCTACATCGTCAAGGCTGGCGAGGTGTTTGACGGCAAGATGAAGACATACGAGCGCTCGAACGTCAAGTGCTCGGGTGGTAGAGGCCAACGAGACACGGCCGTTTTCTTTGTGGAGGCCGGTGGTACCCTAAGGAATGCCATTATTGGCGAGAACCAGAAAAGGGGTGTGCAGTGCAACAACCACGACTGTGTCGTTGAGAACGTCTGGTGGAACGACGTCTGCGAAGGAGCAGTGACCATCCATGGCGGAACAGCGTCGAGCGTATCAAAAGTGATCGGTGGCGGTGCCAGGTATGCCGACGATATGGTCGTTCAGCACAATGGCCACGGCAAGGTTGCGATCATGGGCTTCTACGCTGAGGACATCAGCAAGCTCTATCGCTCATGTGGTACGTGTGGCAAGGTGACCCGTCAAGTGACGGTGACCAATGTGTACATTGTGAACCCGACCAACGCAATTGTGACGGTCAACAAGAATTGGGGCGACCGTGCGACGCTGAGGAACGTCCACATCAAGCCGAGTCAGAACGCCGTCGCGAGGGTATGTCAGTGGATGCAGAGCAGCGTCGATGGGAGACCCAAGATGGTGGGTCACGGCCCTTTGAATTCGCTGTGCCAGTACTCAGAGAGTGATGTGCGTATCAACAAGGGCACTCACCGTATCGCGCATGTTCCGGCCAACTCGGACAGCTCGGACGATGTCACGCAGTCAGCCGTGCAGGAATCCATGGAGGACCCGAACGGTGCCAAAGAAGTCGCCACGCCGTCTCTCCGAAAGACTGACGAGCAGCCGAACGTTGCGAAAATCCAGACGCCTTCAGTGAAGGCTCCCGCCTCCAAAAGTGGCAACGGCAATCTCCCTGCTACCACCAAGTCCACGGCGTCGGTACCAGACGGTTCGTGGCCCGCCAGCAAGGGCGCCGTCTTGTACAATGCCCCGTACGTGATCAAGGCTGGTCAGGTGTTCGACGGTCAGATGAAAACGTACGAGCGTTCAAACGTCAAGTGCTCGGGGGGAGAGGGACAGAAGGAAGCGTCCGTATTCATCGTGGAGGCTGGTGGTACACTAAAGAATGCCATCATTGGCAAGAACCAGAAGGAGGGTGTGCATTGCAACAAACATGACTGCAAAATTGAGAACGTGTGGTGGGACGACGTGTGCGAGGACGCAATCAGCGTCAAGGGCGGGACTGCGGCAAGCGTGACCACTATCACCAACTGCGGGGCGCGCCACGCTGACGACAAGATCGTTCAGCACAACGGCCACGGAACGGTCAAAATCAATGGTTTCTTTGCGCAGGACTTCGGCAAGCTCTACCGCTCGTGCGGCACGTGCGGAAACATTCCTCGCAAGGTCACGGTTGAGAACTTGTACGCCATCAACCCATTGGTGAGCGTCGTCACAATGAACAAGAACTACAACGACCAGGCCATACTGAAAAACATCCATGTGAAGTCCAGCAAGTCGAACGTCAAGGTGTGCGAGTGGTCACAGGGCGGCAGCAAGCCGTCCAATCTTGGCAACGGTCCGTCGGGCAAGCTCTGCCAATACTCGACGAGCGATGTGCACATCGACAAGGAGTGACGTACTGGACAACATGCCTCACTCAGGACTGTTGAGAAGGGTACAGTAGCGTATGATGTTTTATTTTCGTAGCGTAAAGTCATCAACATCAAGGTCATGTATCAAGAAAAAGTGGCTCCTTGGCTGTGGTAATGACAGCGTCATGTGCGTCAATTTGCAGTCTTTTCTGATGTCAAGATTGCAAGCTGCAGGATTTGACGCCGGCGTTGCTGGTGCTACGTTAACTCTGCTTACTGTAGAGTGCGCTTCACAGTGGGTGTTACAGTGGCAGCACATGTAGTAGAGTGGACGTGTTAACTTATGTTGACATTATTAGAAGGAAAAATGTAAAACTGCATCAGTTCATCACGATCGAAAAACGCATGACAAGACAAACTAATACAATAATGCATCGACGATGTATACGGTCAAACCTATAAATGTTAGAGATATAGTCGGACATGTCCACCCATTTCATTCCACTCCCTCTCGCAGTCGTCATCAGAACTTCTTTATCTTTTCGGTCGACGTCTATTGGCTATAAGGAAAAAAATAATGGGTTGGCGCTACAAGGTGAGGAATGTGACGTTTACCTCTTGGTTAAAAGGTCAAGTAGCTTCTAACTCTTTCATCCTAACCTTATGTTTGGACATTGAGGTAATCGTAGCTGTCGCCGCGGGGGTGTGATTGATTATGTACAAACAGAAGATATAGCGTAGTGTCGAGTGTCGCTAAACAAAGTCTTACAAAACGACTTAAAGCAGGATAGGACGACAAAGATATAGGCAACAAGAACATACAATATACTGGAGTTTACAAAAGCCATTTTGATCTTACCCGAATAGGCCACAACGATACTTGCGGAAGCGGAAGGCACTCCGATAAACTCGCAATGCTGATGGATAATTATTGGCGTCACGAAATGAAGCTGCTGGTGGTGGTATCATCTGTAACGCTCATCTGGTGGCTGTTCGACGCGGTGCATCATTACTATCAGCCGGTGAGGGGTTGATGGTATGCACTTAGCGTAGGTATCTCCTCTGTTTTCTCGGTTTACATCAAACACTTTGTCATATTTCTAAGTAATGATTCTTTTATTACTCGACGTTTATACAATAATGACGCTCGTGTCGTAAACTTTATGCATCCTGTACGAAAAGTATTAGTGTCGCACAAATTTACATAGCACAAAACAAAGTAAATTCTAACTACAGGAGACTGATGCGATACCTCTTATACTATCATTTACGAGCTTGTTATATTCGAGGTTTAGTCCGCGGATTCTATCAGAGTGCCCGGTGTACTGCGCGAGTGTGTGGTGGAGTGGCGATCGCTCAATTTATGAGTCGATTTCAATTCTTCACTGGCGCCCGGACGACCGACTAACGTAGGGGGTACTCCGATTCCGTGTGTGTTGCCTTCCTCACCTTGTGAACCCGTCGGTAGGGCGGGTTGCACTCGTGTCGAAGGAAAACTTGACCGTGTTGGAGAAGGGGTTGTGATCGTGCGGAAATCTTCACGCGATCACGAGATACTCGTGGGTACTGATATAAGTTACCCTGATCTCAACGAGATCGCTTCGTCCACTATGTGGTAGCTTGATCCGCGAGCCTTCTCGCGAATCTTGCGCCTTGCCTTTACGTGTCTTGTTGCGTCCGATAGCAGTTGATGTTGCTTGAGAGTTCTTGAACACACCTGGCCAAAACAATCCAGGTGTGACACTCGCGTAGACGTGTAGCGCGACTCTTTATTCGACGGGGGGCCAAAGATCCTACCCGGAAGAGATAACGTATGCCTTGTGAAGTAAATTGAACTCTGTTTAATGTTAATCAACCAACCTAAACCCCTATCCCGATGCCTATCCGTATATCTTAACCAGATGACACGCGTCGCCTTTCCAGGAAGATCGTCCCCTTGCATTTATGTGGTCCACACCCAGTATATCCACCGATGTATCTTCTTGTGGCCCACCCAAGATATCCTCGTGATCCTACTGGCGGATAGGGATCCTGTTAGCGGATCGGGATCCCACTTAGCGGATCGCAACTGGAGATCGGCCATGGGGTCCTGGGTTAGGATCGCGGTCTTCCAATGAGATCGAGGGTCTTGTATTGCCATGTCTCACGGCGGATTGCGTAATCAAAACGGGTGTGACTACCCTATAGCCTCATCCCAGGCTGGGCGATCCTGTCCACTTGGGGTTTGGGTACGCTATTGCCAGCCACCCATCCCAGCTTGTATCCACCAATCATAGCATTCTTGGCTTAACTGGAGCGTGTGACCCTTTGGATCGCCGATCCCAGTCCCAAGGAGGTTTCCTTGTGACCGCTTTGCCACAAGTACGCTGGTCTCGAACTCCTTAAAGGAACCACACTCCTCATTACACAATGGGGATTTCCGGCCTAGTGGGACTTCCAGCCCATTCAACTATTCTCACCCGGATGTGCGGGTTGGCAGGGCGGCCATCTGATTGTATGGTTGCTCGTCGACATTTTGGCCGATCTCTGGCCCCAGTGATCTAACCTTCCCCCGCGGGTTACTATCCAGCTACCTCCCGATTCCAATGTGCTTAACCAATCAGCTACTGGGGAAGGTATCTTAATATATTGGAACAAAATCGTGCAAAAATATTGATAAAGTTTAAAAAAATTTTATGTGATCGCAGTAGTGTGCGCATTCGTTGCCTAGATTGTGTTAGTGCTGTATTTTCTATCACTTTGTATTATTCGGATGGGACAATCGACTAGTCTGAATAATGTACACATCATTAGTTGATCTACAAAGGCAACAGAGAACGTAGGTGTATCAACATGTAACGTACACCAACGTACAGAGGAAGCTAATCAAATTTCGAATACATTAGTTTGTGGTGAAGCAACAGCTTTAATAAATGTATTATTAAGCTTCTTTTATGCTTTTTCATATTAATGGGATCAAGCTTTTCTAATATAATTCCAAATACAATCGAAAATCGCAACCATCTGTTCACCAAACATAGCGAGCGTCCATCACTAGTTTGAATGCTTTGCTGGTTTGAATAATGGCCTGAATCAGCCAATTGGTGTGCTTAAATCGTGCATTTAGTAATATAGTAGAATACATCCGCAACGACAATATTCGTAGTGATGATTACCAATATCGTGTAACGAGGTCTATTCGTTATATCACTCCTTCATCTAATCGTCACAAGTCGAATATGATACATTAAGGGACCCTGGAAAGTCTTTTTGGGAAAAGGGTTTGTGGGCTGGGTCCGCCCATTCAAATAGTTATTATCGCATATTAGACAGATCTGTGCGGTTGGCAGTAAAAATCAGTAAGGATGGTCGAATGTCCATGTGCAGATGGCATTGGATCCAACTTGACTTTTGCAGCAGACGCTTAATCATCTGCAGCGCAATAAACTCGATCTCGAATTCTTTCGATGCAGTTTCATGTCCTTATTCTCCATGTAATAAAACGACTCCGAGGTGCAGCTCGTTTGTTTAGACGTCTCAAATGAGTCATCCAACTCAGCGGCTTCCCTAGAGTCCTTGTTCCTGGAGACACACTTTTGTGGTGTATCCGACGAGGATCATCATAACATCTTAGTTGCTCACACCCTCGATACTGGACGACAATCGTACAAACGATGGTTTATCTCAGCGTCTAGGCTGCGGTGACGCAGACATGAGTCATTTCGATTCAGCGATTTGCTGAGCGCGACAACTACGGTACCATTGCTTCTGTCAAGACATATAGAAGCTGGTGGATATCATCATTTTAAGTCTTGCACTGCAATAACATCTTACTACAAAACCACACCGAGTTATCAATTGCTTGTTGAGGACTACTAGCGATCGGCATCAAATACCATTAGTCGATTCGTGACGTCTTTACTTGATGGACATTAATGCCTACCATTGTTACACCGAGAGTAACTTTTACATCGATGTCTACTTCAAATACCGATATTAAGTAAAATTCGTTACATATATGTTATAATTTGCTCATCGCGGCTTGAAAAGCTTGTGTCTATGAAGTTATATATTTACCCGCAGAGCCTCGATATAACAAACCTATTGTGAAACGCGAAAAAGGATAAACAATGTGGTTGACCAGCGCAATTTCGAATTGCATTGGACATGTCGAAAGGCAGACGATACGTGTGACTCATGGAGTTTGATGTGTATGAGCTGTATACAACGCAGCTCGCGTCTCTTAAATTACGAAATCCTTACTTCTGACCGCTGAAGGACCAACGTCGCTCTATATTATATCAATAAAATAAAATTTGCATCGAAGTTTGAGCTTATGATTGTTTGATAGCATCATTTCATCAACCTCTTCATACGGATAGATGGTTTCCAATACATCAAGCGTCTTTAAATTATTAAGTAAATAAATCTATTTTCCAAAAAAGTTGAATGATGAAAAATGTTGTTCGTTTTTAATCCCCGTCATTGCGATTGTAAAACTATTGTTATTTAGTATAATTGAGTCTAATATCTCTTATTCTCTGTTTTGACCTAACTTCATTGTATTGATATAACTAAACGTACGATGGACGTCGACTCATCACCCATTGCACGCGTCTAGCAGCGATCGGTGGTTTGATATAAACACAATATCAACCAATAAGTAGACCTTTGGGTCATCTCAGCAATATCATTGTTTTAGTGATATTGTTGGTCGAACATTCAATATAAAATCTTTATTACCATTTCTCACAATACTAAGTTCATGAAACGGGCTACCCCGTTAAAGTAACAACCACAGATAAACGAGGAAGCCATGTAAAACAGCAGGGTTTGGCAGCCCATTTCGTGTCGAGACGACGAGGGAAAGTAAGCGAGTGTTATTACACACCACGCGAAGACGTCGAGTGGACCAGGACAAGGATACATGCCAAAAGGCAGGCATCCTGTAAAGAAGAAACTGGTTTTCAGAAAAAGGCAACATGTCATCCTAGGTCGACAGGACGGTCGACCATAGAAGATAATGACCTGACTGTGGCTGCGCAGCCACAGTACGGAGATATG